AGTGGTTACCTAACAAATGATTTGAAATACATCAATGCTTAATCAAGTACTGTGATGACTTGAATTATTCATATTACTAAAATAAATGCTTGGCAAATTAAAACTTGCCCTGTAAAGAATATATATATATATAAATATAATATGTATATAATATATACATATATAAAAGTTAAAGTTCATATGTTTGCAGAATTTGAACATGTGATTTTGAGTCTGATGAAAATGTCATTCATCTGGGAGTGTGTAAACCCCAAAAATGTGTAAGCCCGTTCAATTTATTTTCATCTGTTATCATCAATTCCATATTGCTGAAAGGTCGTGTCCTCAGAATATGCTCCACTGAAATAATGCTATCAGCCAAGTTTTAGTCTCAATCTTTCACTAAATCTGGATGATCAAGTTTAGTATCTCTAGTTCTCAATGTTTTTCTTCAGTATTCATGTTGACTTCCAATGCAACTTGACTTTAGCTATACTGAGGGATTCAAAGCTCTTAACAGATTTGGGCTTTCGGCTTCTCATCAACACAGTATGTTGTTATATACACCTAAAAAGCAACTCCTTGTGCAAAATTTGCTTTAATTTGCGCTCTTTTTTAATTCACCAATAGGGACTGCAAGTAGTCATGAAATGGATGGCGTGGTGATAATGCCCTTACACTAGAACCCTCATTCAACTGCAGCTCAGCAGTGGTGCTCCCCCAGACTGCAGACATGCTGACTGATGAAAGGCAGAGATTGTCCACAATCAGTGGCGATGTAACATGTGTTAGAAGTCTGAATCACAGACAGAAGAACTGTAGAATTCAGGAAAATGATTACAAAAACTAAGAAGGAAACAATTACATTTCTGGACTGTTTTGTTTTTATTTTCTTATGGGTCTATTTGGACTTGTGTTTTATCTTATATAACATAGAAAATCCAGTTCTGTAATTTCCCTCACGTTCCAGCAATCCCCCAGACCTTAGTTTTTGATTATTCACTTGTGTAAATTGTTCTGTTATTTGATGTTTTCTTTATTCTGTTGCACATTACTACTTTTCTTTAGCAGAGACCCAAGTCCTCTATGTGCATGAAGACCAGCATCCTTTTGCAGTATGTTACAAATAGACTGAGAAAGAGATATGAAGAGGAGTGAAAAAATCAATCTATATTCAAATAGCAAAACAACTTCCCAAGATCACATCACTAGCAGAGCTATTCAGAAACAGATGCTGGATATCAATGTCCTGAGTGTAGTAATAGGCCTAAAAAGCCTCACCTGAGGCCCTTATCCCACCCACCCCCTGCCCAATGGTCCTGAGCACCATTTAAGCTCAAGGTCCTCACCATCTCTGTAAGTGCTGTTGTAGTGAAGTGAACGCTGGTTTCTGTTGAGCTGAATTTTGACCCATTGATGGCTTTCCTAGCTCAATGTTGGAGCTGCCTTGTTCACTGTGGAGCTGCCTGGCAATGTCTGGTTTGTGTCTGATCCTGGTTACTATTGTTAAACTTGCTTCTGTCTCATATTTCTAGCTTTACATCTTTACTGTGAACTCCTGTGATCTGTACTTTTGGCTGACTCCAACTATCTCTCTGGGCCTGCCCTGTTGGCTGGGTTATTGTGGTTGATTCCCTGTCCCTTAGGGACAGTTGGTTCTTGCTGTACCCTGATGCTGGCTGGCTCTTTAGTGTTCTTATAAAGTGACCTATTAGACCATGCCACTACTTAATTCATACACCTTACTTTCCCATGCAAGTCTTTGGCTTTGTAGCATTACAGACTCTATTTTTTATTCAGCAGGTACTGCAGAAATGATTCATTTTTTTTCTTGGCATAAAATTGCATTCCCTGCTCTGACATATTTGCAGTTATCCCAGCGTGCCTCTATTCCAGCTTGCTGTTTGCTCTCTTTATGCAGCTGCATTTGGATTCTTACCAATCTGGCATCTCAGATTGTGAATAGCCCTGCCTCATTTATGCAGGCAATGTGTGGGTGTTTTATTCTGTGGGGTTTTATTTTGTTTTTGTTTTTTTTTTTTTAATCCAAGTTTATACTTGCCTCTTACAAGGGCCAAGAGAAGGAAAGCATATGGTTGCAGAAGAGTCATAGCGCTAAATTACACAAGAGGAAAATCAAGGAGGCCTCCTAGTGCGGGGAAGGCTTCTGATAAATATTGTGTATTGACTTGTCCAGAGAGTGCAAAGACCATAATGGGCATTATAATGTGCTCTTAATTTATCTCATATATAAAAAAAAATGTATATGTAAGAAAGTTATGTATGTTCTTCTGTTATTTATGCAGCATCAAAAGGAGTGCAGAACATATTCCTACTTGAACCAGATAACAGAATGGAAGACTAGATAGTCATAAAATCATTATAGAACTGGCTCTTTTTTCTTCCCTTTAGGCTTCCAAAGCTATTCAAGAAAAAAGATTATTCTGATGATTTGAGATAATGTGGGGAAACATGGGTTCAATTTATTATTATAGCACTTACAGGATAAATTGCTGGCATGCATTCATATCTTAAACTGATATGAAATGAAGGTTCAGCACCACTGTGTCCCCACTCCACTCAAGTCTCACTGAAATCTTGAACTCCACTTGGGTTTAGGGATTAAATTTCATTTAGCTAGTAATCTAGCACCTTGCTGAAGGTTCAGTGCTCCAAAGCTTCACCTTGAAGTGTGGATGGGTGATAAAAATATTAAACGTCTAACAAATAATGATCAAATTCTCAGAAAAATATGAAGAGAAGTATCATCTGGATTCACTTAAATTTGACTCATGAGGGCAATGTTTTAACATGCTATATGCCTGTGAAATTTGTTTTCTATTAATAGCTTCTATTTCTTTCTCTCAAAGCAGGGGACTATGAAATCTTGACAGCTGTTGAAAGTAGTTGTTTAACTCAATGTTAGATTCTTTTGTCTTATTTCTAGTGCAGCTAATCTGTGTAAGTATCCTAGCAACCTTTTTCCCCCCCCTCATTCAGTACTGTAAAGGTTAGGTAAGGATTCTAGAAAGATTGGCCTAAAATATAAAACAAACTGACAGAAGAACATTTCTTAAAGGCACAACTTGCTTCAGTAAAACTGACAATTCTAACGCTTCTTAAGAGAGAGGACAGGAAGCATATAAACAAGCCTGAAGTAACTTTTAACAGTTTGTAAAGCTATGAAATTTATGACTGAATAAGGTCATGAACTTCACAAAAGGCTACATCGGAAGTAGGAAACACTTTCTACAAAGACCTGGGAATGAGCACTTTACTACAGCATTAGATGAGAACGAAATTTGAAAGGGAGGGGAGGATGAACTGAAACACTGGCAAACAATAGTATGTTCTATGGTAACAAAATCACTTTTTGCAATCAAAATCACATGCTACTGAAGTATATGCTTTTGAGTTGACTGTTTAGAAATTCCGGTAAGATCTGCATCAATCATCCAGTACTTAAATAACTCTTATTGTTATTGTCAATAACTCTTGTCCCCATCTCTCCTGCTCGAGGTTTGGGTGCAGCTGTGCAGGCACCAGGAGTTATTACGCTGTTAGAATTCACCTCCCAGGCTGCCACTACATCTTGATATGCTTTACTTTGGACTGCAAGTAATACTAAAATTGCCCATTTCAATTAAATACTTGCTTCTGACCTGATGGAAGGCTCTAATACAAATTGGCTTATAATTAGCAGACTATATTTAGCCAATTATGAGATTTTTAACTGAGCAGTTAAGATCTACTAGATTTTTAATTGCATCCCCATGGAACTGAGGTTGAATAGTTTGTCTTGACAGCTGGAAGCTGTGTAACCATGTTAGATATGCAAATTATCTGGGCTTCTTGCTTTGTGGATTTTTTTGGATAATTTGAAGATCATCTTCACCTATAAAATGTGAGGTCACCACTGATGCAAATCCAGGAACTTCTTTTTTGCGAGTACTTATGATTTTATTTAAACACATTTTAATTTTTTCTTAAACATCACTTTATTCCTCTATCTCTAGAGGATACTTACTTTGATATAATATCAAGGGTGGTCACAACAGGCATGCAAATAAATTCATCAGTGTAATGGAACTTCCTTGAATATTATGAAATAAGACTGAGTCACTTRATGCTTAATGTACTTATTTTCACAGGCTTTAAATTAAAGCCTGAAAAATCTCCACATACTAAAGCGTTTTCATGGTCAAAACTTAGAAGCCTCTACAATCACTCACACTCAAAGTAGTTACTGATCAGTGCTTCAGAGTAAAGTTATCCTGAAGTTACGTGTTCTCAAACACATTTTATTCCATAAAGCTAAAACCAAATCCCCTACATTTTTTTGTTTTTTTTTTTTTGCTTAAAATCAACCACCAGGGGGAGCCTGCATTGCTTATGTGGTACAGATGTGTACAGGCACAACTAAGCAGTCGGGTTTGCTATGAGATACATACTAGGTGGTTATTAAATCTGCTTCCTATGTGGCTCTCTCCCGAGATCTCTTAAGTGGAAGGCCATGGAAAMATGATCAGAAACAGACTGAGAAACCTCGCGATCATGCTGCTCTTCCAAACATTCTCCAGACACTGGGGAAACGCCCAGTGTAATAGTTCTCGATCCTGCGGCCAGGACAAAGGCAATTCAACTGCCTTTATCCTTTCTCCCCTTTTGGAAAGGACCTATTTAATCTAGTGACACTGCTGATTGCTTATATAGAGTGAGCAAGGTTGTTAACAACTATTACCCTATAGATCAACTGAATTTCAAGACTACAAACCGTCATTTAAAGACTACCAAAAGCTATTTCTGATGCCTTTAGAAGAATCAAAACAAACCAAGAAACCTTTTTTTCTTTCCTGCTCCCTCTTTCCCCAAACCCCTCTCCTTAAATGAGTGTGCTTGCAATCACAATTTTTCTAAATGAGCACCAGGGGATGCAAGGTGTGTAAGACAAGGCATGTAAAAAGATAACTCCTTATTATCTTTAACATGGAGCCTCTCTTTATTCGTTATTTTGCACTTACCTGACAAGCGGTTCGCTGCAGTTCTACATATCTCCGACTGCTCTCACCTTCCTACCCCAGCAGCTCAGCGTTGCCTTCCCCGCCCCTCCCACGCGCCTTCTGGAACATTCCTGCTCCTTCGAGGCAGCGGCGCACGAGCCCCCCGCCCCGCCCCCCCCACTTCGCCCCTCCCACACGCTTCTGGAAGGTTCCAGCTTCTTCCAGACGCACCGCGCGTGCTCCCTGCCACGCCCCTTCTGGAAGGTTCCAGCAGCTGTCAGGGGTGGCAGCGGTTGCACTATTCCTGGTCAAGCTTGGCAGTGTGTGCTGGTGGCGGTTTTGGTGGAGGCCCCAGTGTTTTTGTCTTCCATTATGTTAAATGCAGTTGTGTCCCTGCTGTTTACCGCAGGATAATTTGCTATTGGGGGAAGCTGAGAGGTTTTTTTTGTTTCCTTTTTTTTTTTAAATATATTTAAATAAATTTTCCTTTTTTTTTTGTAGTGAAAACAAAGCCTCTTTCAAAAACAGTATTGTTTTTACATTATAAAAGCAAATCCTTATGCACATTTATCTTGTCTGATAAATACAACTTTTATGAGCTATAGTGGAGATGTAGTTTAATTCTTTCCCAGTTCATTTGAGAAAATGCAAGTATATAGTGTATGTACAACATACGTGCATTAAGAAGAAAGTGTGTGTGCACATTTGGATTTACTACATGTTCTTATGTGTGTTCCGCTGCAAAGAAGCAGTACTTTTTAAGCTTTGTATTTTAACAGATGATTTGCTTAGTACACCTTTTAAAATGCAAAAGGCAAAACAATCACAGCATGATTTCTGCTTCTTACCTGGCTTTTTTTTTTTTTTTTTTTTTTTTTCCCTTTCTTTAGTTCAGGAAGGGAGAATGCAGGGAGGAAGGGGACAGGCTGTTCTCACTGGTGGCCAGCGATAGGACGAGGGGTAATGGCCACAAGCTGAAACACAAGAAGTTCCGTCTCCAGGTGAGGAGCAACTTCTTTACTGTTAGGGTGACAGAGCAGTGGAACAGGCTGCCCAGGGAGGTTGTGGAGTCTCCTACTCTGGAGGTCTTCAAAACCCGCCTGGATGCCACCCTGTGCCACATGCTCTAGGTGTGCCTGCTTGAGCAGGAAGGTTGGACTAGATGATCTGTAGAGGTCCCTTCCAACCTTAAATATTCTGAAACTTCTGAAATTCTGAAACTTCTTTTTAGTGTTGCACATTCAACAGCATAAAGAATCAGTGAAGATACTTGTAAGGTGTTGATACAGCCATGATGCTGTTTCTGCAGAAGGATACAGCTTTAGGAGAACTGTGGCAGTGTCTTTTCCAATCTTGTTGCTATTCAGGCATTCCAGTATAGATGAACTATGGTGAATTTAAGCTGCTTTTTAAATGTACTTAACAAGCTTACTGCGGTAGTTATAAGCATCTGTGTTATTAAAAAGATACATATCATTCATATAAAGTTGTGGTTTTTTACTTTGCTCCATACATTAACCTTCTTAAATGGAATGAAATATTTGATCATTTGTCTCATGTACCGTATTTTTTGATTGCAGTGCTAAGGTTATATCAGTAGAATTGCATTAAAAGAAGAGTCAAATCATCTGGTCTGGCAAGGAGGACTAGATCCCACATCGATATTCTGCATGCAGCTTTGCATGCACATGTAAGTTCATGGAACTTACAAAAGTATAGTATTTTATCTCAAAAAAAAATTTTTTTGTTTGTTTTTAAATTTAGTCAAGGTACTTAAAGGATTGAGAAGACAAYTGACAAGCAGATCTAATGTGATGGTACAGACCTGCTCTCCTGTGAAAACTAGGATAAAAAGTATATATTCAGATCATAATGCCTCTCAGCAGCAGTTGCTGAGTAGCTGGACTATCTGCAGCATGCTGTTTGCTTGCTGCAGAGCACCCTTAGGATGGGTGCCTAAACTTTCTGCTTCTGCTTGTGTAAGTCATTCATTCTAGGAGTCACTACTTTTGTAAGTTCCATGAAAACAAGTGCWAAAGCAAAGGACACAATATAATATATGGACTTTGTTTCAGAGTGTTTTGTTTTCTACTTTGTTATGTGTCTCACAGATGCGTGTGAATTTGAGATGAGAGAGGGGATGAAAGGTCCCGGCTGCTGGTATGAGAACAGCAACCTTGCCTGCAAGGAAGCAATTACACTTAAAACAGTCTCAATCAGAGAAATTAATAGATTCATGAATTATTCATCTGCTATAAACCAGAAATGAAGAAATGGAGGGGGAATGTTGGGAAAGGCTTATATAACCTGAGCTTAGGTATGAAAAGAGGTAAACTTAGGGCATTGAGGATATATGGATATATCACTGGAGATGTGGCAGTCTCAACAGGAGATGTAGTATTAGTAATAATAGTGGCTACATCAGCCTGCTAGAAAAAAATCAGGCCATAGCTGTTAAAAGGGAACTGCTGAAATATTAGTATAGCAATGGGAGGAGCTTGGGCACCAAAAATCTAAGGACTAGAAACACTTGTGTAGGGTTTGCAGATGGAGTTTATAAGGAAGCAGGAACATGGTGGCAAGCATGCAGCTATTTGAGTGGTCTGCTTTAGTTAGGAATGATTATTGACTCCTTATTGTTTCCTCATTATTTCCTTATTGTCTCACAATAAGAAAAAACAGGTTATAAAAATAAGAAGTTAGAGGAGGAGGAAAATACACCAAAAAWTTTTAAAAAGAAATCTTCTGTTACTGAAAATAACTTTGATTTCAGGATTTGCAGACAGGGATAGTTAGTTTTGATCTAATCTTTTATCCTAATCTGTATATGGTTACAGCAGTAAAGTTTAACATTTAATATGAATRATTTCTCCTAGTAATAGCACTAATAGTTGTATCAGGTTTATTTTCATCAAGGAGCTATTTTTCATCAGTAAGCTAGTCCAGTCTTAAGATGTCTGTCTTAAGACTCTCTAAGTTTTGTGGGTAGAACAGACAGTGGAACGACTTATTTTCACATTCAGTAGTGCTGTGGTTAGTTTTGTTCAGTATCAATATTTCATATTGAACAAGGCACTTATGTTCCATCTTTTCATCTTGCAACAAAGGATGCAACTTTAATGTGTTTGTTTCCAGGYTGCAGTTCAAAGTCTTATTTCACACAATGCATGTTCTCCTAGCCTCATGTTCTGCTCATGAGCTTCTGCTGGGAGAGGGAGGTGATTCTTCAAAGAACAACCAAGTAATTCATCCCTGGAATGCTGGGGTTGTGCTTGAAGTCTAGTAGTCCCTCAAGAGAAGTAGAGAGTTTGCTTGTAGCAGAATGGAAATTGAAAGCAAAGCCTCAAAGGTAAGGAAAAGAGGTAACTTCCAAAAAATCTAGAGGAGCCTTATGGGTGCATCTACATCATCAGTTCAGCACTCTGGAGGGGGCTTCTTTTTTTAGGTGCAAGTTTTACCCGAGACTATATTGGTGTCTTTATTATAATACTCAGATATGCCACTGCTGTACATGTAACATTTCACTCTCTTTCAAAGACTGAAGCTGCACACTGGGCACTGTTTTGTGTGCTCCAAAGCTAAGGGGCAATACAAGGTCTCGCAGCAGTTAGGATTTTTTCTTTCTTTTTATTTAATGCCTCTGCAATGATGCTAGACACCTGGCTTGGTTGCCTGAGTGATTGCTTCTCTTTCTGCAAAAGTAAAACAGGCCTCTGTTCCTGTAGTCAACCAAATGAAGACTCTCCACTTTTATCTCTYTGATCTAACTAGAAGCTCATTTCTATCATAAGGAGGATAGGAATAATTGCAAAGATTTGTTTATATATATAGTTTTTGTTTTCCCTGCCTTGTGTGTGTTGTCTGGTTCCCTGAAGATATTTTGTAGCTTGTGCTGTAGCCYTACTGTTCTGTTTCAGTGCTGATATGCACTGTCACTAGTGGATCMTTGCCCATGGACATCAGAAATGCATCCAGTCTAGGAGTGACATCTCATCTTGGCTCTAGGAATGCAGAACAGACTTTTCTGGTGATATGTTCAGTTTCTAAAAATAACTACACATCAGGTAACTAGAGCATTTTTTTCAGGACCTAACTTTAAAACATAAGAGCATGATGTACTGAATCCCTGCAAAGCTACTATTTCCTCTTTCTAGAAAAATACAGAAAAGGAAAACTTCATAAAGAAGAATATAGCTCTAACTTGTTGACAAAGATTAACTTTGTTTTACTTCAGATCTTGTCCTTCAGAATATTTATGTATTATTCTTAACTAGTAGTTATGAACTATGTGACATAATTTTAAATGACATGAGTGCAAGTACCATCATATGCCAACTCCTCTCTCAGCTGAAAGCCCCCCAAAAATAATGCAAGAAAACATCCACGTTGAAAGTAATACACTTCGTATTTTTTTCTTGATATATTAATGGTGTAATTTGATCTGAAAATGGATTGACGAATGATTTTATGAAGCACTGGAGAGTCTGGGATTATTGCAGTTTGGTTAGTGACATCTATAGATGTGTTGTTCAGACTGTTATTATGAATAACAGCAGCTAAATGTGCAGTATTGGAACATAAGCAGAATAATTACTGTCTTCCAGTAATTTTGTTACTTGTAAAACTGATTATAAAAGCAGAAGCCAACTTGTCAGCTTGGGAATTCAGCAGGAGGTGGGAATGTTTCAGTAAAGGAACTGTCTGTACTGCAACTCAGTAGACAGTGTATTTCAGTGGCAGTGCACCTACTAGAAAAGTGTTTGAGAATGTTAATGACTTTTAGTTTCTTTGCCTGGAATATGCTGCTCTGGTCAGCGTGCAGGAGTAGATTGGATTCTGCTTTTACAAACCCTTCAGTTCACAAGCTAATGTAGCAGCATCTTAGGTGGTCCAGCATTGTGTTCAGTTTGCAGTAATGGTTTGGTCTTCCTCAGGAGCAGAAAAGGTCAAACAGCTAATGAACTTATTTAAAGGAATATCAAGTCCTATTTCAACCTCATACTCAGCTCTGACAGCATAAGGTTGATGAGCCAAGGGCCCATTTCTGCAGAGAAACCTATTTTCTAGCTAATG